CCCATCATTCATACATGATCATATCCGACGCAACCAATTGTGTTTTTTAATCATCAGTAAACTAATACCATAGAACATGTATTTGTTGCTCATCCAAAACCGACTTATAGCCTAAATAAAGTAGCAAAGGATTGAAACACAGCAAAACAGTTCCATCTTTTTTTCACAGAACGATTTCTGTCACCACCTTTCGTTGCAGCCATCTGATTGCACCAAGGCACCTGCGAGATCTGCTTGTTTTTCATAATTCCTCTAAAAATCTATCGCTTTTGTCTTGTCCTATGAATGCAGAAATCGGAACACAAGGTATACTAATCGTTTTGTCCATCAACAGCGACCGCAGGCAGAGTTCCTTTGCTGACCCCTGAGCCTGGAGATAACCACACACCTTTCCTACTTTTTTATTTAATTATCCCAACTTTTTTCCCCCTCTGATTCAGAGAACATGCAGCTCGTCTACTCGTCTCATGTAGCATGCACATCACATCACAGGGTACAAAAAAGCTAAGAAAAATGCATCAACAGACAGATCCGAAGCAGGCAAGGCGACGACGCAGCAGCTGGAGGCTGGAGCAGAGTCTCGTCTCATGAAAGGAACTCTGAACTGACGTGCGTGTCGCTGTTGTTTGTTTCCTTTCGTTGGTGCAGAAAGCAGCAGAATCGATGGGAGGAGCACGTACGTACAGAAGGAAGGACGGAGGAGGAGACTAGACCTGAGGTAGTACGGGAACTCGTCGAAGGTGACCTTGCTGTCGGCGCCGTCGACGAGGAGGCGGCGGAGGTCCTGCTCCACCCTCTCGACGGTGACCCCCGCGGCCCTGGCGGAGGCGGAGGCGCCGGCCCAGGGCGCGGACGCGAGGCCCAGGCCGACACCGACCCCGATCCCGATCCCGAGCGCTGACATCACCACGCTCTTCCCCTCCATGGCGGCCTGGCGGGCGGGCTGCTCTCCGGCCGGCGACGACGATCGACACGATACGATCCAACGACGACGGCGGCGCTCGGTGCGGCTAAAATTAAGAGGGCGGAGGGAGGATGGAACAATCGGCTGGCGCGCGGCGTGGCGTGGTCGGCGGCAGGGCAACGGGTGGTGGCGTGGGCTGGCGGCCTGGAGAGCAGGAGAGGTGGAGGGAAGGGGAAGCGGAGCGCAAGTGCCGGGCCTCTGCTCGTTGCCGTTGCTAGATTCTCGGTCCTTCGCTGCCCTGTCTCCGCCTCCCCTCTGCGTCTCTGCTCAGGCACAGGCAGGCAGTGCAATGGCGCGCCGGCACGCGGCCTGCGTACGTGTGTGTGATCTAGCGATACACCGTACACGCACGAACTACTACTACTACTAGCCTTTCTTTTTCCTTTTCCTGCAGCGATGGAGGACGTGTGCTCGCTCGGCCTCTGATGGTATGCATTCTTCCGCCCGCGACCTCTACCAACGTTGGAATCATGAATAGGTCCCATCGTGCCATTTTCTGCGAGGCTCCATACCTTGTTTTGTTTATTGTGTTCGGACTGAATTTATGTTATTTTCCCTTTCTGTCAGGTTCAGTTGTGCACTTATGTACCGTTCTCTTGCCATTTTTTTTTTGCAATTCTCATTTTCTTAAGTCAAACATGTTTATTATAAGTTTGATTAATTTATATAGAAAGATACTAAGTAATGTTGATTAATCATAAAATTAATGTATTTTTGTAACATACTTATCTTGAATCATGAATGTTAACATGGAGTAATATGTTTTTATAAACTTAAGTTAAAATTTAAGAAATTCTGACTGAATCAAAATCCATGATAGTATGGGACACTTGCATTGCACTGTCACCCGGGTAAAAAAAAATCATGTGTCGTCCACCCCGATTGCATGCGCCGCTGGCACCGCAGCTCACAAATGCACCACCACCACCGTACCTGCCAGAGGTGCATGCACCGCCGGCGCCGGCGCCGCCGCGGCATTCTGATGCTTGCATGCTGCCAGCACTAACAAAAATGATTTTTTTAGAGACTTCTTACTTTTCTAACCGAAACGGTTGTCTTAGCCCTCTGTCACTAACCTTCACGGGAGGCACTACAGCTATACAACCATGGCTAGAAATCAATTTTTAGGGCGGTTCTATTAACAAATCCGTCTCTAAAAATGTATTCATTTTTTAGGATTGGTTCCGTTAAGAGAACCGCCTCTGAAAATATTTTTTCAAGAACGGTTGCTTATGTCAATCGTCTCAAAAAATGAGTGATTTTTAGAGACGGTTTTATTAAGTCAATCGCCACTGGAAATCGATTTTTAAGGACGGTTGATTAAGTCAACCGTCCTTAAAAATAGCTGCAACACAAATAAATTCATATCTTTTTGAAATAAAGTTGGGTGAAGACAAAATTTATATCAAAATTGTAGAGCTCGACGAGATCTAAAACTTTGTAGTTGACAAATTTTTTGTTTGATATCATTTAGGGTTCCAAATATATAAATTAAGTATCATATTTTGAATTTAAAATTTTTGAATTTTTCAAATGACTTTGGATGGAGAAACGATCTATATCAAAGTTGTAATGCTCGACAAGATCTAAAACTTTGCAGTTGAAAGTTTTCTCATTTAAAATTGTTTATGAGTTAAAATATTGATTACAAGATTTGTATATATTATTACAAATAGACAACATATTGTAGGTCTAGACACAAGTGACTGTGTGGTGTGGTGATAGGGGAGGTATTACGCGAGGGAGATGTTGTCGATTTGAATCTTGGGTGTCGGCACTTATTTAGAACTAGTGAAAAATAAATCTTGTGAGCTGTTACCGGTCCTTAGCTTTTTGGGCTACATTAAAAATATTTTTTTCTTATTTTTATTAGACTAAATGATTTTTTTTTTAAAAATGAAAATTATTTTTAGGGACGGATGACCGCCTCTGAAAATCGATTTTTATGGACGGATGTCTTAAGTCAACAATCTCTGAAAATCGATTTTTAGAGACGGTCTTAAAACCGTCTCTGAAAATCACTTATTTTTACAATTGCTGGCATAGTAGTGATTTTAAGGGCTTGTTTGGTTGACCCCCTCCTAAAGTTTAGTGTCACTTTTAGTCACTAAAATACCAAACACCCCCACTAAAATTTAGGGGCCCACTAAAGTTTAGTAGTTTTTAGTCATTAAGGGATAGCTAAAAGTGATTAAAGTGTACGTGAGATAGCTGTTTTAGCGGGTGAAACAAATAGGAGTCACCAAACTTGAGAAGAGGTCACCAAACTTTGGGTGTAACCAAACAGGCCCCGAAACCGTCTCAGAATCCCGCCGCAACCTGCTTGCTGTACGAGTACGCACGGTCGGGCAGCGCGCCATGATGGTACTAGTAACTGTACTGTACTTTTGGGCGTCACGTCGCCCATGCGGAGCAACTGTACGTACTCTGTCGCAAGGGCCTGTGCAGCGACATGGACATGCATGTTGCGCGGTGGCGCGCATGACCACTGCCCGGCAAGCGTAAAGGCCGCCAGGGTAACATGAACGAGTAGTCCAGTACAGGGTCCAACGCGTGTAGTATTGGTTCCAACCTCGTTACAAAGAAAATATCGATACATTTACATAAAGTAATATTAACAAATTATGATTCTAAATGAACGTATTATGAAAATATGCCGATGAATCTTATATTAATACTCGTTCCTTTTTATATCGTAAATATCTACATAATTTTGTGAAAAATCATTAGCTAAACTAAAGGGGGCTACTTGGTTTCTTAGAAGAACGCTCGCCTCACTTAAGGTGTGTTTTGATCTCTCACCTTGTTGCCTCCTCTGGCCTCGCTCGGCAAGGTCAGCCTCGCTAGCTGAGGCGAGCCAAATTGGCTCTCGTGAGCAAGCAGGGATAAATCCTGAAAGCACGGTAACGATGCTGCGAGCAAAGGAACCAAACATTTGCTAACTTGGTTCAGTTAGGCTCGGTGAACATTGACGATGAATCCAAACATGCCCTTAATCGGTAGGAGGACGAGCTTTGTATTGAAGTCTGTGCCAGCAAAATTTTCAGGCCTTTTACTTTGCTTGAGCAAACCAATGTGGCTCTTCTGGCCCGGTAAGGATTGACTTGCTCGCATGCGTAAAGCAAGGCGAAAATAAATCGATTTCTATAAATTTCTACAAAAAAATTCTCAGAATCTTCTTTCTTTCAACAGGTGCTAAAGTGTATTTTCTTTTCTTTTTCTTTTTTACCAAAGGTTGAGGAAACTGTACTCCCGGGCTCACAGCGGCTGAGTACTAGTAGAGACTGTTCTAGTGCCAACTGTTACTGGGCCACGTCGCCCATTTAGCGCGAAGCAAACGGACTGCGCGACCCGGTGCTTGGCCTGCTACGTGTGTGCATGGGAGTGGCTGAGACGCTACGCGGCATGCATTCTGGGCGCTTCGTGGATCGAGGTGTCCAGCCCAAACAAAAAATATCCATCACAACGTTGTCCCACGTCCGTGGGCCCCGCCGAGCCCCAATCAGGCAATCACCCGTCAATCTTGCAGAAACGTCCCTCAGATTGTCATAATTGTACACTGTGCACGTAACTTGGCCCGGCAATATTTTTGACAAGATAGAGAGAGACGCGGCCTGGAGAGAGGAGCAGGCCCACCCGCCCGTTCCAAGCGGGAGACGGCCCACGAACCACGAACGCGTTCGGGCCGAGAACCCGCACGAGCACCCAACCGCCTGCCCCTTCTGGGCTCCTCGCGTCTTCTTCCCCCTTCCCGTCCCAATTCCAACTGGAACTGGCCGCAGCCGATCCCGCGCCCGCCCACCACTCACCGCCGCCTCCGCCGCGGCGTCGCTCGCCGGCCGCCTTCGCCGCGGTTCTACAGACGCTCCGTCCTATTCCCGCGCCGCATCTCCTCTGGGTCACTTAATAATCTCGGTAAGGCACGACTTCTCCGCCAGTTTCAGTTCCGCCGTCCGTTCTTCGGGCGATACCGTGCTTGCCACCCCGCGACCGCGATTGACGACTGCCTTCGTGTTCCTCGTCCGCAGCCGCCGGTATGTTCCGGCCGCCGAATGCCTTTGGGGTGCCGCCCCCCTTTCCTCCTCAGCCTCAACCATGGCAGTGGCAGCAACCGCCCCCGCCCCCGCCTTCGCCTGCGGTTACCTTTTGGCAGCGGGACAACGTGCGGGATCACGTGAGGAAGCTGCAACAAACCGTTGAGTTATCAACTGCACTGTGAGTCCCCATTTCCTAAAACCCTCGAAAGCTACTGATGACCATGTAGTTTGCTTATTTATGCCCATTTCTTAAGAGAGGATTTGACCTGTCAGGATAAAAGAGATCGAGGAAATTGCAGTGGCCAGAAATTCTGGTGATGCTGCCACGCAGGAATCTGCTTCGTCTTCGGCAGAATTGCCGCCAGGGTCTGGTGATTCTTCAGAGGACAAGCCCCTCCGTTTTGTTGAGCCAGCTAGGTCCATGGGGATTAGTCAGGACACTCATGAGTCGATGACAACCGATGCAGCCAATTACCTTTGTCATCAGCTTCAGCATCTTCTTGGGCCTATCTCTTCCGTGACTAGCCAAAGTGGCCCTTGGGAGGAGAGATCAGCGATGGTTAGGTTGACTCAGAAGCTGCAGAAATATAAGAGAAATAAGCGGTGGAGGCAGAGGAGAAGGAAGCATGTCGCAGCGCTTTTTCAGAAGGTGCCACTCATCATTGTCTCCTTTTTTTTGTGGCTATACTTTTCTGAATGCATTCCCTCCAAACTGCCAAAAATCCAACTATGTGAAATGTGATGGCATCTCTTGTCTTGTTGTTTCACAGGAGCGCGCAGATTATGATAGAATTGATCAGGAAGCTGATGAATGGAGGGCTAAGCAAATAGCCAAGAACATTGCAAAGCGGAAGGTGCTTTCTCGTATTTGTGAAATTTGTTTCACAATTAAAGATATATTGCAGTAGGACATCATTGTTGCTTCACAACTAATGTATTCACTTTTGTACCTGTAAACCAGGTGGAAAGCATGCAGCAGATTGCTAGAAAGAAAGCAAATGAGGAAAGAAAGCGTCTAGAATCTGAGGTACTATGGAATAAAATTTCATGCCTAAGCTGTCCTGTGAAAATTCTCTTCTCTAGGGTGTTTCAGAACTGTCTTTTACTAGTTGTGTGCAAGCGCATACCAAGATACTACTGAACATTGATACAAACCAATGATTTTTTTGTTTGTATAAGTTTAGTTGCAACATTTTAAGTCATGCCTTTTTATTCTTGTGACCTTTATCTAGTTTTCTTATAACTCTAGAAACCCTCTGATCTCTATACTTGTCTTAGTGCAAGCAATCTTCTGGGATATCATTCACCTATTTTCTTGTTTTTTTTTATAGAGAGCTATCTTGCAATCAGTTCATGAAGAATTGAGTAGTCATTCGAATTTCTTTATACTTTAATCTACTAATGATTCTGTGGACGTTTTTGAGTTAATAGTATCATCATAATATTCTTTATCCTGAATAAGCTAATTTTCCCAATTGGCAATTTGAAATCTGGTACTTCCAGCTGGAGCTTGCCCTAATGGTCGAGAAACTTCAGGAGCTTCGGTCTATAAGAGTTCAAAAAATGAAGAAACAAGGTAAGATATTCTTATTTTCCTATTTATTTATTTACATTCTCTGTTTTACAAAATATGTTCTGTACATGAATGAGTTGTATTATCTAGAAAATAATTATTAATCGGATTATTTTGTATTTAATTAATAAATATATTATTACTTAATCATTCATGTTATTATTGTGCCTTGAAAGCATGGGCAGTGGCGGGAAAAATTATGGTGCCTAATGACTAGACTTTATTTTCCTGGTCGACTTACACAGTGAAACAACAATTCCCATGATGGACTTTTACTAAAGTGAAGAGATGGGTTATCATTGTGTTTTTCTGACTTTAAATACTATGTTATTCATATTCTGGCATTTTGCATGCTGAAGGCTGAACCGCTGAAGCACATATGCCTGTAACGATCCTTTTCTCTTTTTAAGAGAAGAGGATGTCATATCCATTTGGCAATACAAATCTGCTCCTACCTGTGTATGATCCCACTAGCACAAACTTTTTGGAATGACAGAGTGCTCCTGTCTCTGCAAGACTGCAAACTTTTCTTTTTCCGTTGGTGGTGTTGATTTTCCCTTTTTTATTTTGTTCAGTGTAAATACAAGAGATGGATATATGAGTTTCTTTTTATGTTAAATGTTTTAGGTCATTTTCTTCCTGAAGAGGATGATAAATACCTCGAGCGTGTTAAGGTTGCAGTCGAGGAAGAGGAGCGCCAAGCTGCATCTGCTGCTCGAACTGATGCTGTTAAGGATGCTATTCTGACCGCTGAGGAATCAAGGAAGCCTCCACAGAATGCCAATTCTCAAGAAGGTGGTTCTGAACAACCTAGTGAACCATCTGAAGACAAGGACCTGGGAGATGGCGGGATAAATGAGAGAAATGACCAGGCAAGCCAGAAAACTGAACATGAAGATGAAGGCCATAGATTTGAGGGAAAAGGGCATGAACATCATGACCCTGTAAGCAGTCTGCCTTTTGAGTTCTACCATTATTATCATGGAAGTAGCTATGACATGGGGACACTCATTGAGGTAATTATGCTAACTTCAGAACTTTGGGCAAGCCTTTTCTTATTTATTATGAATCGTATATAAGGCAGTGTAAATCAGAGAAATACAAACTAGGCTTCGTAACCTAACAAATAACCTGATAATTTTCACTTCATGGCATGGGCAATTACTCAATATACCTACTCAATCAACTTGTCTTTATATTGTCTCTGTTGTAGGTCCGTAGAATGTGGGATTCTTTCATCAGACCTGGAGGAAGGTAAGACTTCTACTTGTTCGTACAATTTCTTCCAAGTTAGCTTAGATGCATTAAGCAAGCATTTCTGTAAGTATTTTCAAGTTTCTGTGCAGTTATTGTTTGTGAGCTTGTTTAGTTAACCGTAACAAGATGAAAGGAGGGTTAACCTCATGAGGAGTTTATTGTGAAATAGCATCTATTGACCATTATTATGGTCTAGACTCTAGGTTAGGAATTGCACTTGAAAAAGGTGCATCTTTGTTGGTCAATGCATCCTGTTTGGAATGGAGTTATTCCAATTTGGAGGAAACAGAATGGACTCCAAGGAGTTTTACCTATTCCTGTGAAAGAACTATGTTTTGCTCCAAACAGGCATAATATATTATTCTTCATCTTGAAGTGAAAACACAGATCTGACCCGTCTTCTAGGTGTTCAATTGCATCGATGTTGATGCATTGTTGTGTTTTCAACTTTCAAGTCAGATACACTTATGATAGCTTTTATCTTGTTGCTGCTGGAAAAAATATAATTTAGCATGACCATTCATTGTTTTTGCTCGAATATATTCTATTCCTATATAATAGCATATACTAATGTACTAGGGTGACAAAATGTTCCACCTGCCTGCAGCCGTATACCTGGGCACTGGGTTCAACCACCCCCTCCAGCTGATGAGGTTTGGGCATCTTATTTGGTGCAGCCCAAGTAAATCACCATGGGTTCGAGAAATGGCCATTTCTGCTTCAAAACCACCGAAATCTTCATGGCTCCTGCAAGGTAAGCTAGGTACTTAAAGTTAGAACTTCAAGTGTTATTACAATCCTCTAGAAATTCCGAGATGTATTCGTTCTTCCTGCCATTAATTGTCGCTAATTAACATCATTACCTTATCATAAAATAGGAGGTACCTGTATTGTACCTCTTGGTTTCTCATGTCAACTAATGATATAGAGAATTTGTAGAGGGTGCAAGCGGTTGCAGTTATCTGGGTTAAATTACTACTTTACTCAGTTGCTTGTTCTATGAACATTTTATCAAATCCTTAATTATCTTCTAGATTATGCGTGGATTATCTAGAACTAAAAGTTTTTAGCTACCAAAAAAAAACATAATGGGTTTGTGGAAAAAAAGTTTACTCGTCTATAACCTTTACAAGGATACGACATTCAATTTGAAAACTCCATAACAATGTTTTCAAGTCGTCTAGTCGACTCTGGTCGCCATGGGACCGACCAAACGATTAGTCGCGATTAATCGTCGACCAGGATGACCAGTCGAGTCTGGTCTGGGCAGTGGGCACACCTACCATCATTGGAGGAAGAGCTCATCTTCGTGAGCTAGGGGGGAGCAGAGGCGCAGAGCCAGGGAAGAGCTTCACCAAGAGGCGTGCTGGCTGGGGAAGAGAAGTAGAGAAGAGAGAAAGAGCAGAGCAGCAACAGCCGTCACGCACAGGAGCAAAGAAGAGAGAAAGACCAGAGCAGCAGCAGCCGTCACGCACAGGAGAGGAGAAGAGAGAAAGAGCAGAGCAGCAGCAGCCGTCACGCACCGGAGAGAATGAGAGATGGGAACCCTAGAGACTTTGCCTCCTGTATATATATTACAGACCCTAGCGGGCCAAATTGGCAGCCCAACTACTCACCTGGAAGCCCAGTCAAGCAAGCCCAAAGAAGGCAGTGCCTAGCCTGGTCGTGCAGCCTAGTCGCCGACTAGTCGGACGACCAGGTTTCTAGTCGAGCTAATCGAGTCGAAGTCTCTAATCGAGGTCATGGTGCCGACCAGACCGACTAATCGTGATTAATCGCGATTAATCGGACGACTTGAAAACATTGCTCCATAATATCATGACTTATGAGTTGAGTAAAAGAGAGAAAACACTAGCAAAGGCTCCTTTTTTATGGGGTTGTTGAGGCCTTTTTCTATGCGAAGATTGCTAGCAAAAGGTTCATTTCTGATCAAGTTGAGTTGTCCATTGTTACATGCTGTCTTCCAGAATGTAACTCTGAATCTTAGCCTTAGGCCTTAGCATATACTCATTGTCGACATATAACACCCCACTCTAATGATATGCCATGCTCCCAACTTGTTTGAGGTAGAGGCTTAAATCATGGAAGAAAATAAGAGTAGTAAACTTAACTCAGATAAATAACTTACCATCCAAGATACAACATTGCACTACTATGTGTGTCAAAAACTCAAGGCAGCTCAAGGTACACATTGAATAAAGTGTTATCAAGTCGTCTAGTCAGTCCTAGTCGCCATGAGACCGACCAAGCGACTAGTTGCGGTTAATCGTCGACCTGGCTCTGGTCATCCCCTAGTCGTTATATCAGGACTAATATACCAAACATATACTAATATACTATATGTTCTAGAGTACAAATCAAGCATGAAGATAACTCTAGGATGGTGGCAGCATTTAGGGTTGCAAATTGGGCTGAAAAACATGAGCCCAAGTGGCCTAAGCCATCTTAGATGCAGCATGCAGCCCATGCCCTCACCTGCCCAACAATTCCATTCTGTTTCCTGTCGTCCACCCCCTAGTCATCTGGATTCAGTCGACAACTAATTGGACGGCCAGAAAACTAATCTGCCTAATCGAGTCGTAGCCCCTAGTTGAGTCTAGGATACCGACTAGGATGACTAATCACGATCAATTGGATGACTCGATAACACTTCCATCGGTTTCATTGGTTTAACTTCAAGGAGTGTTATATTTTATGTTAATATTAATTTTTATAAGTTAACATGGATCTTTCTGTTAGCTGCAAAATATTTTATCAGGAATAAAAAAACTTAAAGATAATTGTAAACTAAATTATGTTCAGCTTCATTATAAACTGAGAATTCTTGTATATACCTTGTCCAAGATCCAATGACAAAACAATGGCATCTTGTTAAGGAAACTAAATAGATCCCAAGTTAAATTCAGTGAGTGGTAACACCAAGTACAGACAAGAAGATACAATAACCAATTGGTCTGGGTATGACTTGGATTTGATGACAAGGTGGCAAGAAAAGCATGCTGAAGGAAAGAGCAAAGACTGGACACTGGTGCTCAAGAGTAAAGTTCGTGAATTATAAGGTAAATTTGTAATATAATCCTAAACTTGTAAGTGTCAGCTCCTTACCTTGAGCTAGCTCATGGCAGTGAAAGCTGTGTGGTGGATTTGTTTTCCTCTTAATGAAACACATTCGTAGGCACGTTCTCGGAAAAAAAAACATAGAAGTCATTATCTGCATGATTATTCATATCATCTTTTAGCTTCAATACCTCAGCCACCCTACTGTTTTACTGGTCCCTTAATCATTGTTTCCTCAATGAGTGAAAACTGCCATAACACTTTTGTTGGCACCATTGCTTGTTTGATCTTGGATAAGGTACGTCCTGACGTGTATATAAAAGATGACAAGATAGATCCCAAAAGGCTGGATTCTGTTTCTAAAAGATTACTTGCGATCTGTGTAGTCCAGTGTGGGGGTATGGCCCCGTTACCCATAAGACAACACATGGGCCACGTCCCAAAGGTGGCCCAACCTACAAGATCAAAGCGTACAACGCAAAACTACATGAAGATGTGATTTATTGTATAATATCAAATATGATATTTTCCTTGTAACCCTACCCCTCTAGAGTATATAAATAGAGGCAGGAGTCCCCTAGACGATATATCGAATTTGATACACAATCAATACAAAATAACAGAGCACAGGATGTAGAGTGTTACGTCAAGGTGACGGCCTGAACATTTATAAATCTTGTGTCTTGTGTCTGTTATCATCTGGTTTGTATTACGCGCACCTCCACCGATTCATCTACTACCGTGGGTATACCCCTCGGTAGATTGCCGATCAGATTTCGTCGACAGTGGCGCGCCAGGTAGGGGTGTGTGTGCTGATCCTATGGCGAACCAGATGGCGTACCTCAAGGTCAACATCATCCACGACAAATTGGCATCTGCCGACGGCGGCGTTCGATGTATCAATCGGCAACGTGACGCCCAGAAGAACTAGTTTCTACGTCTCCATGCCTCGGTGGCAACGAGCAACGCCCTTGCACCGATGTACTAGCGGTGGTGGACGTCGTCGAGTCCGTATGCTGATGCCCCGTCCGCGCCGACAATATCATCATCGGCTCGATCTCATGTTGACACGAGATGCTGTCATCAGGCCTTGGCGGCGGCACCTACTAATGAGGCTCACACCATCGACTCATCATCGTCGATTTGCCAGTCCCGCGGCATCCTTCGCCATCGCATCTCGCTATCAACATCGTTGGCTCATCGACCACGTCATCGGACACGATCTAAAGGAGGGCGTACATCTACAAAGAGACATGCAATGATCTAATGCTCGTTAGCACTTTCAAGATCTGACCCAGCTTGAGATCAGCACGTCCAGCTGCCCATTAAACAAGCTAAGCTATATTTTTGTTTCAATTAAATATACAACACTTGTATACCCCCTGTACATCTCTATTTATCTGCATGGCAATTATTGGCAGGAACTTAACTATGTTCCTCGCTGACAATGTGGATCCCGTCGTTGTCTCACGGCATCCCTTTGTCAGCACGTCGCGGCTCTTGTTGTCGTCCCTTGTCGGCGGCACTCGTCGTTCAGTCCTCAGGCCACATCGACAGCTCGCCGACATCGCCTGCTCATCGACGGCTTTGGTCATTGACAGCATGGACCTCGTCATCGGCTTGTCGTCGGCGTGCCGTGACACCCGTCGACTACGCTCCTCGTCATCGACAATGGCTAATCCAGCACGCCGTCGATAAGCTCTCCCGAGTCGAACATGATCTACATTACCAAGCAAGCAAGGCTAAGGTGTATATGTGTATGTGCATGCACGAACAATTCATGCAAACCATGTCCGACTGCAACTACTATGCCCGTTCGACTACGACTACACGTATGACTCCGCGCGTTCATCCGACTGCATCGAGTAGTCCGAACCCGCCATGCAGCATCGCTTCTCCGACCAGATTGAATGCGGCTACGACAACAATCTCTCCGTATATGATCTGCTTAAGGCTGACCAGTGGCATAAGGATGATGTTGCCCGGACTACTTGTTCCGATCGCCTGCCGCGTCGCAATGATCGCCGTGTAGAACGGCGCTATGACGACCGCGACCGCTGCCATGACGACAGGCTGGAAAGCTCAAGGGTTGGGCAATTTCGTCGATGCCGACCAGATAACGTCATACGCCGCCGATCAGACATTTTGACTAAAGCTAAGTACCTCTACTATATCTGCATTTAATACAACTTTCTCCAATTATTTTCTCTGAGTTTTCGCCATGCTCCTCCAATTATTATTTCTCCGATTATTTTCCATAATTAAATGTCTCCACGTTTAATATCTTCGTGTTTAAGATGTTCCATAATTTAATATCCGACTAGTTGATCGGACTGTTCGGCGCTCATTTCTACTCGGCGCTCACTTCGCCGCCGACCAGTTGGTTGGGCTGCTCGGTGCTTGATTCTTCGCCAACCAACTGGTCGGATTGTTTGTCGCTTCATCGTCAACTACGCTTAGGTAGAACCATATGGGAATTTTCCATCATCATCACCATCTGCGGCGACGACTCGGCTCCGTGAGACGGCGATCTCAACTCAAGGCTTGGAGGCGCATCGCTCTTCGTAAGAGTTCTCTGGAGGTCCAACGCTACGCTTCGTCAGCACCAATCAAGGAGACGACTACATGCGGTAAGCCAGCAGCATGCAGGTCAACTTCAAGAATTCAGCTGCATCACCCAACATCGACTTGTCATCATCCTTCGGCAGCGCTCGTCAGCCCTCATCAACGGCTCGCGTGGTCCTCGCTATCGACTCGACATTACGGGGCAACTCACGACAACGCATTGTGATTTTCACTAAGATCAACGTCAACAAGCAAAGGACGATGTATTATCTATAATACCATGCAAGATAAGTAAACAAACCATCACGGTGTTTTGACTGCATCTACATACAGCCTCGAGCATGCATGTAAGAAATAAATTCCCTTGCTACTGATCTACACTCATGAAACGTGACTCCAACATCATCAATCCAAACGAGCTAAGTCATGGTTTTTCTATTGAATATTCTAACATATATATAACTTTCTCTACCTTGATAACTGTCAACAGCAGCAGCGGCCATGTGCTTTCTCCATTTGTTTTCCATAATTTTTCTCAAATTACTTATTTCTCTATGCTAAACATCTTTAAGATGATGTATACTATCGCCATTTAAATCGGATCGCGCCCTCGCCTCGGTCAGACACGCTCAAGGGCTTCGCCTTCCCACGCAAATTGACTCCATCAGACTCCGATTACGCCCGTTTGCCTACGACTCTGCGTAGCCGCTCGAGCCGTCGTGCCGCCGTGCCGCTGAGTCGCCGAGCCGCTCGAGCTGCCGTGCCATCGAGCCGTCGTGCCGCTCGAGCCGTCGTGCCACCGAGCCACCAAGCGAGCTGCTAAGTGAGCCGCCCGAGTCGTAATCAAGCCGCGTCGCGCCGCTATGATGACCGCTGCGAAGAACTACGTTGTGACAACAACGACCGTCGCCATGGCGACATGCCAGAAA